CAGAGCTTGAAACTAATTTTTATTCATCGAAATAGCTGTAATTAGCTTGAATATGTTTTTTGCATCTTGAAGCAAGTTTCTGTTTATGATTAATTTAAAGTCTGAGAATATAAACTCTTGAACCTCTTAATTACTTTACTTAAAATACGGAAAAGCAACAAACTTTCCGCCATTAACTTAATAGTTTTGCGATCTTTTGCGACCAACCTATTGCAGATAGTACCTATCTGTAGTATTAATGTATTATGTATGAATCTTTATAAAGTTCCATTCTTTTCTGTATGCTCGAAGGGAGCCTATGTCCCAGAGTATGAATAAATTCTACCTTTCTCTCTCTTTTTATCTATGTCCTTTTCTTCTTTCGTCCGTGCGTGTGCGTTCGCGCACGCCGCATCGACGGAATGCCACGCATCACTAGCCACGAGAGTCAGTCAACCTCAAGAGGGAATCAGGTGTGGAACAAATGAATTCGCGACGGAGGAGGACGGATCAATCCGCTCCTTAATCTTGCGGAAGCGAACATTTCTTTTGTCGAAGGCGGAAAGGACATTGCCATTTAATGTTTTTAGTTCGCTAACGTATGAGATCTATGGTGAAAGAACCCAAAAGAACCTAATGACTTCTATATAGTTTAGAACGATAGAGTTTTAACTTTTAGTTGCTTAAATCTAATTTAAATTTTCGTAATAATTTTGCAAAATTCTTGTTTAAAAATAATTGTTAAATTTTCCAGAGTTATGGGAACTTATGGAAAATATGATCGCATTCTCTTGTTGCTGACAATATAAAAGCAATAAAATATAATAAATATATACTACAATATTTACTTTTTAATTGCAGATAAGATAAAAAAATAATTAAATAAAATTTCACAATTATATTAATATTATTGAAAATCTGCTAGTCTTGTTTTTATCAAAACATTTTTTAATTACGCGTGTATCGTTCGACAGCTAACAAGAAACGGATAAAAATCCGATAATATAACAACTCATCATTCACTTCTTGATAAAATTGAAAAAAAAATATGCATATATTAAATCAGATAGAAATTTGAAAAATGTATGTCGTAAATATAGAAATTTCAAGGAGAATTTGTTCATTTGGGATAGAATGAAAATATAAAACGAATAAATTTGTATCGATATCGGACAACGAGATGGAGTTTTATTAATATTGCAAGAGCCGAGATCGAGAATAATTCCAATGGGAAATGTTTTCAATTATCCACTGATAATTAAACCCGCTTTTATATGGCTCTTTCAACTTATGAAATTGTAATAGATGTACCGTGACAAAGGGAGAATCAAATAAAAATGAGACGATAAAATTCATTCGGCGACGGAGCAAAATTATTAAACGTAGAAGGACTGATACCATTTAAAGAGACAAATGCAATAATTATCACTGCCAGATGAACTGTATCTATTATTAGTTGTACAATCTATAGTGATATTAATTGGAAGCTTAATTAATATACTGTATATCTTCCATATATTAAATATGTACTCCTATCGATAAGAAATCCATGAAATTTTTCCCGAAAAGATATCAATCACTTGAAATCGCAAGCAAGTCACATATTTATGTAACTCACTATACATGTATGACGATATCATGGGTTTTAATATCATGATATATCGATAAAATTTCGATAAAAAAAATTGCCAGACGGAAAGTACTTTCTTCGAAGAAGCCGGCAATGAAAATTTCACTGCTGAACGTTTTCCTCTCTATCGTAGGCACTCACGATAACAAAATATCGATGGATGCGCGAATACCCGAAGTACACAAGTGCGCCGTGCCTCGCACCGACGTAAAAAGCGGTTCAGATCGCGGCCATTTATCTACGGCGTGATTCATCTCTTTGACTGCGGCGCACGGTATCTTTAAACGTTTTACCTGCTACCGGACTCTTTCTCTTTCTCTCTCTGCAGCTAGTATACGGCGCGCCGTCGGTCCAAGTAACAGCCGTCACTTTGTCGGCCTTTGTCACGGGGATTATGCGCCGGGTGGCAAATTATGACGGACACCTTCACGCCCAGGACACCCTCTAATGCGCCGGCCGCGGAGCAAAAAGAAAGAGAAAGAATAAGAGAGAGAGAGAAAGAGGATTGAGGATCCTTAATATACCTCAAGTATGTGTTCTTTGAGAGGAAGCTCTAAATTATGCAAAAGTAGTTCCGTGAAGATTGTAATTTTAATAAGATCTTTCGCAATTGAAAGAGAGATATGATTAAACAGTAATTAAACGAACGAGGAGTTATTTATTATCAGAAATCAATCTATATTTCACACAACTAATCACGAATTAATGGAAGTTAATATAAATTTGAAGGTATAAAAATGTTTTGATGAAATAAAATGCTAATTTTTAATAGAAAATAAAGTCAATTTGTAATCTATAATTATAAATATTTTTTAATTGCAATTAAAACACACAAAAATTTAGAAGTATCAAAAAAACATGCAATCAATTAAATAGGTACAACAAATTCATCAAAAGATTAAAACATTACGTCAAAATATTACCATTTTCGAATCATATCTCAAAGTTCAGAGCGAGCTTTCGACTTTCTTTTTTCTATAGTTTTTTCTATACTTCTTTTGTAATTTCGATATCCCCCAACACATAATGTAGAACTACCCTTTGGTAAATCCGTCACCCTAGAAAGTTAATTTACGGCATAATAAAGCTGTTAAGCTCAAGACGGAAACTCCTTCGAATCGTCCACTTTATTTACGATCTTCTCAAAAGTTTTAGTTCGACATGGTTTCTCGAAATCGCTTCAAGACCTGTGCTCACGCTTTTCCGATAATTCGATGGTTACACGAAAGCTATACGACGGGACGGAATTATATCGTTTTCGGTCAGCTTACGACAATAGAGGGATTGCCGCCGTATCGCAATTACTTAAACTATGAAAGATTTTTCACTTGATTCTTTCTAATTTTATTAAAAGTATCAAAGTATTGCCGATATTTAAAAACAATCAATTGCTAGCAATTTTTTATAGGCTGATAAAAAGTGAAAAATTCGAAGAATTTTTTTCATCACCCATAAGAAATTACAAAAAAGTATTTTTTGTCTCTCTTCTGTAGAAATAACTTTAAATCATAAAAAAAGAGAATAAATGTGAATTAAAAATTGTAGACTAAACGTTCAATTCTTAGACTTTCAAGATTCAATAAGAGCCTTTTTTGTTTGTCAAAATTATCGTTACAAAGGCGAAGTAGTAATATCGCCTGACAATGTTTGTAAAGATTAGATAACTTTCTCATAACATTATAGCCTGTTGCTTCAAGAATCTAGGTACTAATACTATCATGCCGACTATTCTTAACTATTTTCGCAACTGAATTACAAGTTGAAATCCTGTTAAAGTAAAGTTACACGCAAACACTATAATCCACTCCATTATTCATTATCTTTATTTATGTGCTTTTCAAACTTAATTTGCTCGAAAAGTCCTTCATTGTCAATCATGACTAAAAAGTAATCGGTTAAAAAGTCTGCTCTGAATTGATCGAAAACTTTAAACGGAAGAAATTTTACTGACTTTCTTTCCATGTTTCGCGTGTAATTGCACGTTTTGTAATTTTTGTCGAGACACAAAATGTGGCGCACGGGACGGCCGTTAGTTTCAAGGACTGCGCAGCGCACGATCGGTAAGATCCTAAATTAGGTAGTCGCGTTTCACGCCAACCGCGAGAAAACGCCAAGCCGATGATCGGCGGTCACAGTTAAATCACATCGCGCGGCGCGTTTCTTTCGCGGCCGGCGACGCGACATGGGGAGAAAGGCGAAAGAGGTAAGCCTCCTCTCCTTTTTGCTCCCGTTGCTCTGTACAGAGCGGAACCCAATCCGCCGTTTGCGGCCCATTATGCCCGATCATAATTGCGTCGCAACAACGTTTCTCCTTCCTACCATCCGCAGTGTTGGCGGCGGCCTTTCATCTCGGCCCAAGACCGAGACCGAGCTTCTGTTTCCGAGGTGTTTCCGCCGCCGGCTACCGTCCTGGAAGCTGGAACTTGATCCTAAGTAGTCGCTTTCGTGAAAGAGGGGCAGGAAGCTGGGGAACGAGGGCGGGGAGGGGGGGACGTTGTTGCGGTAAAACGCGCCAAGAACACCGATGGAGATGGCAGCCGGGCGCGGGATAAAGAGGGAGAATGGCGCCGTGTAGCTCGGCGTCGTCCTCTCTTATCGTTGTTTTTTAAATTATTCCCACGGTTGCTCGTTTGTTACATAGCCCGATGTGTTGGTCCGATCGACGATACGTGTTCGTATAAAAATCGTTAAAACAAAAAAAGCAGAACGATCCACACACGAGAACCGAATGCGCTGCGTTGAATATCGGAATAATGTCAAATAATATTTAAATTAAATCAAATATTCGCTTATCATCCGACAATTTTACACGATCAGATAAATGAGAATTGTATTTTCTATGTAGATGAGATAAAATAATTAATTTAAAATTCAATTTGATGACGATTATCTTGTGAGTTTTTTGAGTATTAAGAGGACTTTAGAGCATCAAAATTTGTCAACATATCGACAATGTTACATTCGATATTGAAATAATAATAAATATTAAAGCATCGCCGGTATAAAAAGTGTTAATGATTCAGTCGTCATATGTCTGTTTTAAATCGACGATAAAGATGTATCATTTGAATGCAGCTTAAAGTTCCAGTACCTAGATATGCTTTAAAATAATGCTGTTAAAAGCACCATGTGACACATATAAGAAATTACTTGGGTACTTAAAAATGCCATTTGGCAAGAAAGTTCTCTTGGCACTTTGGCATTGGATGTTGAGCAAAAAAGTTATTCCATTTTATATCTCCTTTTTTGCTATTATATTAATTTCAAGGAAGAAGCTCTATTAATTCACTCGAGTTCCGCGATGAGTATCGATCGGCTAAGATTTTCAGCAGAATGCACGAGATGCGGATGAGACGCGCTGACAATAACCGAAGTTTCGCGCGTGTTACAGATTGCGCTGTGCCTGGCGGCCTTCGCGACGGTGATCGCCGAGGAAAAGCCGACCAACACTTTCTCGATTTCGTTGAATTCGCCGATGGATTTCCAAAGCAACACGATACAGAAGCTGATTAGCATCTTGGGGAAGTACGGGCTCGATGATCAAAGGGGTCTGAAGAGAGTGTATCTGAGCAACAGGACGATCACTTGCAACGACGGATCGCAGGCCGGTTTCTATTTGCGAAAGTCTCACGGCTCTAGGCGATGGATCATGTACCTGGAGGGCGGTTGGTACTGCTACGATCACAAGAGCTGCAGATCCAGGTGGATGCGAGTACGACATCTCATGACGTCGACCCAATGGCCTGAGACACGCGACGGTGGGTTCTCTATCGCTAATAATTGTACGTCGCGCGGAACGGAAACGATTTTCCACTTGTACATACGTACCTCTGTGCGCGAAAGCTCGTGCTGCGTTGTAAATTAATTTCGAGGGAGAAAGAGGGGGGGAAGAGAGAGAGAGAGGTGATTTTCTATGCGCACTCTTGAGCATTCGCATTATCTCGGTTATTTTAACAATACGGATCAGCACGCAAGGAGCGTATTTCTATTATGCATAGATAGCATTTATCATCGGATGACTAAAATTCCCCGATTCATATGCATTAGAGATATTCTGAATCAATTTTGCGTTAATAAATATTTATATGCACATACAAAATGTCCAATCATTATCGGATAACTTTTTAATCATAAATCCTAAATTTGATAAATATGTAATAATTTGTTTTTAAATTTCGCCGTTAAATATCCCTTGGCCCAATTGAGCCTAAAATCAATATCTGTCGAAAAATGATTAAATTAAAATTAATCGAGAAACAAGATTTCGTTATTAATTTACAGTTTTGAAAATTTATTTCATTAAAATTCTGTAAGCTGGATATTAACAGTTAATAAATATCGGTGTTTTTCTCAATTCATTCTCCAGTATTTGTGGTTGCAGTACAATAGGCGATTCTGAGCTGTACATACATGCATACATACATATATATATTTATATATATATAGAGCCATTGTTAAAAAATACATGCTCATGATTTTTCCAGTGGGTGGAATGCTCTCACCGAATCCCGACGAGAATCCATTTTTTTGGGGAGCGAATCACGTGTAGGTATTGTCCATCGTATAATCGCGATCTCGCATAGCGCGCGTCACAAAAATCAGATCCTTTCGTAACGACACCGTCGTCGTCATTTTACAGTTTCGTTCCTTATTGCACGAGCGACAGCTGGAGTGGCACGAAAGCCACCAAAGAGCCGCATGACATATTCACGTTCATGGGGGCAGAGATCGTAGTTCAGGTCGTCCGAGACTTGGTTCCCCTCGGCCTCGAGAACGCAAGCGCCTTCCTTTTGGCCGGTAGCAGCGCGGGCGGAACCGGCGTCATGCTGAATTTGGATCGCGTTCACAATCTGGTGCACGGCGAATTGGGTATGTCGTGTTGCGGCCAATTTATTAATTAATTGTCGTTCCAATTAAATATCTCTCGTTATCGTTATTAATAATTTTCGCAATTTTCCAAGTCATAAATAGTTATCATTTGGAAATTCCATTGTGCGTCAGCAAATCAATGTCGATGATTATTATGAATAATTAATATTCATCGAAACACATTTTTAATTGTCTTTACTGTGAAATTATTAATATCGATACTTATTTGTCTTTTGCATATGATTCATACTTTTGGTATCTGAATATAGATCTTTCAATATTTCACACACAAAAGAGAATTCCGATTTTAATATTAAACGAAAAAGAGTCATTTATAAAGCATCGTGGAACTTGTAACGCAGATATTCGCAGCATTTCTATTCTGTATTCGATTTCATCGATTTATCTTGCACGTTTCGGTTTTCTACGGTCATAGATACTAGAAGCGATAAGATTTATCTATTCGCACAGGCTTGAAGCACGTTGCTATACGCGGTGTGTCGGATTCCGGATGGTTCCTCGATAAGGCACCATATTCTCCGAACGAGCTGTCGTCCATCGATGCGATTAAAAAGGGAATGCGCTTATGGCAGTCTCTGATGCCTCTAAATTGCGCGAGCAAATATCCTGGCGAAACGTGGAGATGTTTCTTCGGATATCGACTCTATCCAACTTTGACCGGTGAGTCCATCTTACGCTACTTTGACATCTGAATTTGAATTCCAACGTTATGAGGAAAATTGCAATTTTTATTTGACACCCTAGCACCGTTGTTTGTCTTCCAATGGATATTCGATGAGGCCCAGATGAGAGCCTCCAATGTGGCTATACCGATGACGAGACAGCAATGGGATTACATACACGAGATGGGCGACAGTCTACGGCAGACGCTCGAAAATGTTACCGCCGTCTTTGCTCCGAGTTGCATTAGCCACAGCGTTCTCACAAAGAGAGATTGGATTCTCGTTAAAATAGACGAAGTTTCCTTCGCGCAGGCATTGTACTGTTGGGACCAAATGCCGATCGGAAATCGTCGCAACAATAATCGCAACAACAAGTAAGTAATGATTCGGAACTGGTTCGATTACCGACTGAAAACACATATCAGTAATGTGTTATTTACGAAGAAAATATTTGTCGGACTAGCCATTTCGAGTTCACCTTGATAAATAAATCAATGAAGATTGATGAGGCCTCGAAGAGATGATGTTTTTCGTTCGGTTGCAGCACTCACTCGCAAATCGAGACCAATCAACCGTGCAGCAAGTCACTGAAAAAGCTATTGCGTTCTGGTGCCAGAAAGGGAAATGGTACCTCGATCGAAGACGGAAAAAGCAACGCTAGATCTTCTACGGAAATGCAAAAAGTTTACTCTGTTATTGGCAAAATGCAGGATAGGAAGGCAGTATTCGGCTCGGCTCAAGAGCAGGAGAACAAGAAAAGGCGAAGGAAAAAACACAAAGGCAAGCGAAGAGAGAGAAAGGAAAGAGAGAGAAGCAAAGAGGAGAGAAACACAAGGAAGGAGAAGCACGAGCGAAGAAAAGGTACAGTTAAGCAATGCGTAAACATGTTTTGAATCTTGCTCGAAAACAGTCGACATTCTTTGAATAGTTTCAGGCAATTTCATAAAAAATAAATTAACTTAAAACTCATTTTATGCGTACATTTCGTCAAGGATAGAATTAAAATTTTAAAAAAAGTTTCCTTTTATGCAATTTGCATTGACGCCGATTTCTTCAAGATCGTGTAAATTTTTTCGCAGGTCGTCGCAAAGGTGGCAAGCAAGTTAACGGCAATAACCACACAATCATGTTTAATGGCACCAGGCCGCAGCGATCGGTAATACCGTCTGACAAACGGAAGTGCGACCAGAACTGCCAATTTCGTACGATCGAGCGCTGCACTTGGCCACAATGTAACCATAGCTGCCCCAAGTTACATAATCCCTTTACGGGCGAGGAAATGGACTTTATCGAACTGCTCAAGAGCTTTGGTCTAGATATGAAAAGCGTCGCGAACGCCCTCGGCATTGATATGCACACGTTGAATAGTATGGATCAGGAGGAGCTGTTGAATCTTTTAACACAACGCGCTAATTAGCGAGAGATATTCTACTATGACGATTACACAGGGTTCTCCTGCTTGCTCGACATCTCCTTTAGTACGTCCGAAGTCAGAGCGCAATTTACATACAATTTCAAATACTATATTTGATAGAAATCGTGTTGCACGATTTATATCAACGATCTTACCGATGCCAATATTACAGTACTTAAGTCGAAGAACGTATGTCATTTATCAATGATTGAAGTTAACAAGGTGACAAAAATTGTCGAAAGATTGCTCAGTATATATATATGTAAAAATCAAGCAAATCACCATCCTTGTTTTAATAACGACGGTTGCTAAGATTTCAGCTAAAGTTCTAATGCCTACAGTACAAAAAGCACAACTCACACATTTCGATAGTAGATTTTGAAGCTAAATTATCAGATGTTTAGCTAAAGCTTGACGAAATACGACATTTATTTTGAATTTGACGACAATGCGTTATTTTTTTCTTCGTATTATATATTTTTCCATGTCGTGCTCTTAAAGACTGCTAATTGATTGTCAATAACTCCATCAGCTCTGAAACGATGATTTAGTGAACGCATAATTTTTTTCCGCGTACGACAGACAGCACTCAGCGAGTGAACCAGCGCGCTTGAATTACGAGACGCGTTACGCGTTATTACGTTCAACCAAAACGAATGTATATAACTTCATAGAGAGACCTTTTACAGTACGTTTGCAGAATTCGTTTCGTGAGAAAAACGAAAAAATCGAGAGAGAGAGAGAGAGAGAGAGAGAGAGAGAGAGAGAGAGAGAGAGAGAGAGAGAGAGAGAGAGAGAGAGAGTAGTAGTAGTAGTAGTAGTATATATATATATATATATATA